ACGTGCATAAATTGGATAGCGAAATCAATGATTAGCTCAGTAGACAACTTTGCAACTGTGTATGATTTAGTTTGTGTAAGATATTTCAGTCTCACGAGCATATAAATTCGTTGCTGCGATCTTTCCAAATACTTCAGCGATGGCAGGGGCTTAGAATCCCCCTCCCACAAATATGTATTAAAGATTTAACAACCAACAGGGACTGGAATCCCGCAAAATAGTTTTCAGTCAGAAAAAGTACCCCTGGATCCACCGCTGAGCAGTTTCTAACCCTCCGTGACCTAATATTTTTCTCCTGCTTGCCAAGGTTTTCCCAGATAAATTTGTTGAACGTGAGATCCTCTTACTGGAACTCCATTGTTCTCGTCTTGATAAAGGATGCCAATGGAAAGGAAAGTTAAAGCATCGTCAGGTATTTGTTCGGCAGTAGTTTCCATAACTTTTAATTACTTGCTTGCACCACATATTTATCTAACCACAAGTAGCAAATCTGGATAACTTTGTCTGAACGACGTTGTCATAACAGTTCAAGCTGTGCTGTAATCCGGGGAGCAAGGGGCAAGAGGAAATAACCACTAGAAAAGGACGTGTAAATAATATATCTTTCAGGAGATGATTACATTTAGCAACTGCCATTCCATGGATATATACACTTAAAAACACAGTCGTACAAAACTGTAGTTACGAGTTGATGTAGTATCGTGTTATTTTAACTTTGCAGGACCACGAGAATGTCTGTGAATTTGGAGAAATCCATTGCGTTCATCCCAAATGTGGAATTTTGGTGCAAAGATCCAAGTTGGCTAATCATCTTGAAAACAGCTGCAGCTACAGGGAAGAGTTGTGCAGTTACTGTGAAAAAAGGATCGTATTCGTCGATATGACGGTAAATCGTTTACTAATTATTGTATTTTTAACGGTGTTCAGTATACATGCACGTTGAGATCGCTGAAGCGATAAGGGAAGTGCGCGGTCATGGTTATCAGTTGGGTATGGAAAGTTTAAAGTTTCGCGCTGGACAGTCTTGCAACAGCAAACTGCAGTAAAATTACTAAAGTCAGTTATTTACAAGTTGTCATTACTGGCAATGCAACGTCCAGGTACTACTGCATGATCATGAAGCTTCCATGCATTCAATTGAAAAACATCACTGACCTCTTCACTAAACGTTCTCTTATTTATTTTTGATTTTACATGTTTATTGATACTATTACTGCACATTTAACGAGTGTTTACACACAGCAACCCAACACATATTGTCTTGTAATATGCATCTTCAGGGTCATCACCAGACTGACTGCCCTCAATTTCCAGAGCGTTGTCCGGAATGTGGAAAACAAGATATTCCCAGGAGCCAGGTAAGCGACGACGACTCGTAAATGACTTTCATATTACAAGCAGCCATATGTTTTTAGTGCGGCTTTGTAACTCGTTACCGGCCATGGTGCTTAAGAGGTTTCGTGAGCATAAAATCGGGAAAGAGTACCCCACGGCCAAGATTCATTCGATTCCGCCTGTTTTGCATTTTGTTATACATTTCAGGCAGTTAGTCGCACGTTATGTAAATTTGTGTCTAGCTAGGTCTACAGCCCCATTATGTATCAATATTTTTCCCGACATTTAACTTACAAGCCCACATTAGTATTCCAACAAAATTACTTGGCTGTTAGTTATTACTGACCAAAGCAACACTACAATGCAGTCGTTGGACGATTCGTATACTCACCGCAGTTTGTAATCTTTTAGCTTAACAGATGTTTAATTCTTTCCCAGATATCTACCCACTTGGATCCAGCTGTAGGTGATTGTCAGGAAATCAAAACATTGTGTCCATTCAAGACAGTCGGATGCAAAGAAACTAAGGTAAGAGAAATCCGAGTCTTATTTTGAACACCATTTCTTTTTCCTGAGACTGGAGCCATAGCCGGTACTTAAGTTTATTGGAGAGAGTAAAAACGCTTTAGGTCTCGTGGAAAGTGACTGGTTTTGCGCATGCCGTTGATCACTAAATTATGATTCCCTCAGCAGAGCCTACTTTGCCTTTCCTCTAGGAAACCGGGAGATTACGGGCGGAATGGGTCGTTGCTTCTTTATATCATCCGTTTTCGTGGATCAGTTTCACTTAAACAAGGCGTCCCTTTGGGAGGGAGATAAACGGTTAGCGGTTGTTTAAGTCCCGTCTTCATAAACGCACACTCGCAAAGTATATCTCGACAATACAGTAGCCCGGGGAAATTCAGAACGAAGTAATACAAATTAAAGACACTTTATGTTCACCCATTGAATCTGATTTGTTTCTATCAATTTATTTTTAGGCGATGGCTCTAGATGAAAGAGTGAATCACCTTAAGGAGTGCACGCCAGAACNATTCAACACTAATCCACCGGACGTCGTTGTCCCTCCTGTTTTGAAAGTAACATTCTTAATCTACCATATGCAAAGGTATACTGAGAGGAAGTGCTCTGTATTGTGCATGTGAAACCGAGCACAAAAGGCAAATATCTGATGTGGGAAACGCGATCGGGTCAGAAACCAAAACTTCTGTCAATAGGGCTTTTCCTAAATACATTTAGGAGTAGCTTTCGTTTTTAGTTCAAACAACAACTTTATTTTGTAATGTTGGCCTTCACTACCATAATGAGATTGTTGATTCCACCAACATAATATTTGGAACAGAACCCCGTAACCAATTATAAATAGCTGGGATTGCTCTAGTAAGACAGCTGATATCTCATAACCATGGCCAGCTCTTGAAATAAGGTGGCTTGAAAATGGTGTCTTTTTAAGCGCCAAAACTTCTCGATCACTTCCTAGTTGAACCTAATATACTGTCGAGTAGTTATTAATATAAGTCGTCGAAGTATTCCAAACTTGGGTAGCTTGACAGCATCACATCGACTGCCCCTTCGTTCTGTGCTATTCTTATTCATTTTGTTCTGCATATAGTCGGCTTCCAGCCTTTCACCTCCTTCCGCCCATCCAAATAATGCGAGGCCGGGAATGCACCGTTATATTTTTATAGACTTTTATAGAAACGTGACAATACCCCTAAAGGCTCAAAAAGGAATTATTACCATAACAATATAAAACGAAATTTCAGTTTGTCTCCGCTATAAATTTGCACATGCGAAGTACTGAAGTTTAACGAAAGGACTTCGTTTTGATCTGTGTAGGAAAGTCATGGGCTATCAACTAGCAGAAGCTGACAGAGACAAGACTGATCCCAAACACTTATGCACCAAGTGCAACAGTGTGTTAAAGGAACCAGTTCAGACAACGTGTGGGCATCGCTATTGCAAAGAGTGTATCAACTCTATTCTAAGGTATCTCTTGTTTACGTAATCAGTTTTGATGCTTTATCGCTATCTAAAGGGGTTTTGTGAATTATAATCCAAATAATCCAGAGAGACATGAAAGCTAATCAAGCGCAAACTTGAGGGTCTGGATATGGTTTAACTGATGGCTGGGAATTGGAATTTAATTGTTAGCCACGAAACGTCGCTTTTTCAGACAGAAAGCTGAGATCACAGATCTGCAGAATTTACTGATAGCCAAAAAATGGGCTGAAATTTTAACTGATGGCCGAGATTTCAGCACTTCCAGATAGGCCTTCAAACGTGCGCTTGATAGCATTAATATGTTAGCAGGTATTAGCAGGTTCTGAAGTGGTGAATAATTTCATTCTTGGCAATAATTTATACTCTGGCAGCAAGATTCATCGTCATGTACAAGATTCATCCTTTGTCAAGCGACTTTTAAATATAACGTCAGAATAACAGCCAATCCTTCCAAGTCTTACTCTCTATATCTGATTGCCTGTAAGAACCCTTGTTATGTACTCGCTGAACAGTATGGGGGTAACTTGCTCGATGAAAATTCATCTGGAATGTATCCAGAAGCTATGAGAAAGCAGAACAGTATGACATGGATGCCTTCCAAGATGTTCAAGAGTTCAGTGAGATACTTAATTCCCAGGTTTTCAAGAATAAGAACACCAAAAAAGCAAAACATATGGGTAAAACCCGATTTGTTAGATCTGAACGGAGCCCCCATCAGCCAAGAAGTGAGAATATGATCATGCTTTTTAATAGAACATATCACAGAGGTACTTCAATGTGAAAATGAAAATATCAAGGGACCGCAGCCAGGATGAATCATAGTGAAATTTAAACAACAAGCCTTCGACTGCCTAAATGGCAGTTCTTAACAGCTTAAAAATGTTTAAAAACATTTTCACCCGTTGAAGACTACAGTTAAGGCAGTTAAAAGCTTGCGCTTTTTTGAAAAAAAAAAAAAATAGTCAGAGAACTTTTAAAATTTTACTACCTTGAAAATGCTTATCTAAATGTTGCAATTCAAGTCAGATCCGTGGTTGTAGCAGTCCTTAGGCTTGCAGACGAATGCAACTGACATTTTTGAAACAGTTTAAACAGTCATCTACGCTCCTCCTTTGTGGCTCATGAGGAATATATTAATGACAGTTTCCCTTTTTTCCAGGGACTGACAATAAGCGTAGTTTTAATGTGTATATCTGGTTTTGTTGCAGTCAGAAACCATCAGAGAGTGAATGCGTTGCTGATGGAACCATCCTCACGAAAGAAGAAGTAAGTTATTAGAAAACAAAATCTCTCTTTTTCCTCCCTGAAAGTAAAGATGTGGGTGTGAAGGAAAGATGGTCAGACTTTCTGATGCTTAGCCTTCCTCTCTGTGAAGTGCTCTACTTGTTATTATTTTTATAATGTCTATTACAAGTGGCCGTGGACAGATTGAAGTAAACATATGGTGAAATATACGTTGTGGTCCTCCAGTCGATCTGTATACACCGTTGCATGTCATATATGAAAGATAGTTCTAGCGCTAATAATGAAATCCTTTCTCCCGACATTGTAAACAGTTCTGTTGTCATTGTTGTGCTTAATATAAGCTGATGAGTGTTCTTTATAATCTACTTGTGTTCTTCATAATAGCAATCTACGTGCATAAATTGGATAGCGAAATCAGTGATTAGCTCAATAGACAATTTGCAATTGTGTATGATTTAGTTTGTGTAAGATCTTTCAGACTCACGGGCGTATAAATTCGTCATATCAAACTTTGCCTATTGTTATGGTTTAAATTTTTTAAGACAATAAGCCTTTTGTTGTCTGTTTGTAGGGATTTTTCCGTCCTGTTTCGCGAAATTGTAATCGCGCAACATATAAAAAATTGTCGTTGTTCTGAGCGAAATTTTCCTTATCCCAACCAACGGTCGCTGCAATCTTTACAAATACTTCAGCGATGGCAGGGGCTTACAATCCCCCTCCCACACACATGCCTTAAAGATTTATCAACCAACAAGGATTGGAATCCCGCAAAATCGTTTTAAAAAAGGGGGAAAATGACCACTTCTCTGCAAGAAAGGGCCCATCTTCACTTCCCCTTTATTCAGATAGAGTACCTCTGGATCCACCGCTGAGCAGTTTCTAATCCTCTGTGATCTTATATTTTCCTCCTGCTTGCCAAGGTTTTCCCGGATAAATTTGTTGAACGTGAGATCCTTTTACTGGAACTTCATTGTTCTCGTCTTGATAAAGGCTGCCAATGGAAAGGAAAGTTAAAGCATCGTCAGGTATTTGTTCGGCAGTATTTTCGATAACTTTTAATTCCTTGCTTGCACCACATGTTTATCTCAGTAACCACAAGTAGCAAATCTGGATAACTTTGTCTGAAACGACGTTGTCATATCTATAGTTCAAGCTGTACAGTAATCCGGGGAGCAAGGGGCAAGAGGAAATAACCACTAGAAAAGGACATGCAAATAATATATCTTTCAGGAGATGATTACATTTAGCAACTGCCATTCCATGCCTATATATACACTTAAAAGCACAGTCATGCAAAACCGTAGTTACGAGGTGATGTAGTTTCGTGTTATTTTAACTTTGCAGGACCACGAGAATGTCTGTGAATTTGGAGAAATCCATTGCGTTCATCCCAAATGTGGAATTTTGGTGCAAAGATCCGAGCTGGCTAATCATCTTGAAAACAGCTGCAGCTACAGGGAAGAGTTGTGCACTTACTGTGAAAAAAGGATCGTGTTCGTTGATATGACGGTAAATTATTTAGTAATTATTACATTTTTAACGGTGTTCAGTGCACATGCACGTTGAGATCGCTGAAACGATAAGGGAAGTACGCGGTTATGGTTATCAGTTGGGTATAGGAAGTTTAAAGTTTCGCGCTGAACAGTTTTGCAACAGCAAACTGCAGTAAAAATAGTAAAGTCAGTCATTAGTATTCACAAGTCGTCTTTACTGGCAATGCAACTTCCAGGCACTTAACTGCATGTTCATGAAGCTTCCATCCGTCACTGACCTTTTCACTCAAAGATCTCTTACTTATTTTTGATTTTGCATGTTTATTAATACCATTAATGCACATTTAACGGGTGTTTACACACAGAAACCCAACACATATTGTCTTGTAATATGCATTTTCAGGCTCATCACCAGACTGATTGCCCTCAATTTCCAGAGCGCTGTCCGGAATGTGGGAAACAAGATATTCCCCGGAGTCAGGTAAGCGACGACGACTCGTAAATGACTTTCATATTACAAGCAGCCATATGTTTTCAGTGCGGCTTTGTAACTCGTTACCGGCCATGGTGCTTAAGAGGTTCAGTGAGCATAAAAACGAGAAAGAGTACTCCACGGCCAAGATTTATTCGATTCCGCCCGTTTTGCATTTTGTTATACATTTTAGGTAGTAAGTCGCACGTTATGTAAATTTGTGTCTAACTAGGTCTACAACCTCATTATATATCAATATTTTTCCCGACGTTTAACCGTAGAACCCCAAATTAGTATTCCAACAAAGTTACTTGGCTGTTAGTTATTACTGACCAAAGCAACCCTACAATGCAGTCGTTGGGCGATTTGTATACTCAACGCAGTTTGTAATCTTTTAAACTTGACAGATGTTTATTTCTTTCCCAGATATCTACTCACTTGGATCCAGCTGTAGGTGATTGTGAAGAAATCAAAACATTGTGTCCATTTAAGACAGTTGGATGTAAAGAAACTAAGGTAAGAGAAATTCGAGTCTTATTTTGAACACCATATATTTCTTTTTCCTGAGAACCATATCCGGTACTTAGATTCAGTGGAGAGGGTAAAAACGCTATAGCTCCCGTGGAAAGTGACCTGGTTTTGCGCATGCCGTTGACACTAAATTATGATTCCCTCAGTAGAGCCCACTTTGCCTTTCCTCTAGGAAACCGGGAGATTACGGAAAGTGTTAAGCACGGGCGGAATGGGTCGTGCCTTCTTTATATCATCCGTTCTCGTAGATCAGTTTCACTTAAACAAGGCGTCCCTTTGGAAGGGAGATAAACGGTTAGCGGTTGTTTAAAGCCCTTCTTCATAAAGGCACACTCGCGAAGTATATCTCGACAATGCAGTAGCCCGGGAAAATTCAGAACGAAGTAATACAAATTAAAGACACTTTATGTTCACCTATTGAATCTGATTTGTTCCTATCAATTTATTTTTAGGCGATGGCTCTAGATGAAAGAGTGAATCACCTTAAGGAGTGCACGCCAGAACACTTGACTTGTATACTGCAACACGTAAAAGAGCTATCCTTGCTCGTTAACAACACCTTGCATCTTACGTCACTAAACAAAACTAATGGCTCAGTTAATCCAATAGAAAAGCAACTCGAGCAGTCGATGAAGCAAATTGGAGCGGTTTTGGTGGAAACAAAGAGCCTGAAATCAGAAGTAGATCAACAAGATTCTCGAATCAAATCTCTGGAGACCGTTAAAGACCAGTCTACTTTGCCTGTTAGCTCAAGCTGTAGTCAGAAAAATGAGCTGCAAGAAGCGACGAGAAGAATGCATAATCAAGAGGCCAAACTTGCTGATCTTGAGGTATTTGTGATAGAAGGAAACAAAGTTAATGAGGATCTGGAGCGTCAGGTGAACCTGCTAAAGAGAGAGCAAGAAGGTTACAAGGAAACGATTCGAAAATTACAGCGGCATGTCGAATCTTTGGAGCACACATTGAGCATGCGTAATGTGGTGTTAGCTGACTTGGAGGAGCAGGTTAAACAGAAGGAAATCTCCAATTATAATGGTGTTTTGCTTTGGAAAATATCCGACTTTGCTCGAAAGAAACAAGAAGCAGTCACAGGGAGGCAAGTTTCCCTTCACAGCCCATGCTTCTACTCCAGCAGTTATGGATACAAGATGTGCGTGCGCCTGTATTTGAATGGAGATGGCATGGGCCGAGGCACACACATCTCACTGTTCTTCGTCGTCATGCGTGGTCAGTATGACGCGTTACTCCGCTGGCCATTCAGACAGAAGGTCACGTTCATGTTGCTGGATCAGGATAACGTAGAGCACGTGATCGACGCCTTTAGACCTGATCCAAGCAGCAATTCGTTTCAAAGACCAAAAAGAGAAATGAATATCGCCAGTGGCTGCCCTACCTTCTGCCCTCTGTCGGAGTTGAACAATTACGCATATGTCCGAGATGACACTATGTTCCTCAAGATAATGATTGATACTGCAGACATTTGAAATTTTCTAGGGATGAAAAAAGTGCATTGTAGTAAAATAAATATCTTATTGTGATACAATACTGCAGACCCCCTATAGCGAAAAGAAGTTATAAATTGAACAAAGGAAAAATGCACCACCCCTTCCATAAAAATACGTAGGAATAAAAATAACATGGAATAAGATAAAACACTATTTCTGTAGTTAGGTAGAACATACAATCATGAAACACATTTATTATAGAAGGTGTATATAATAATAAAATCATGCAGAATTATATAATATTTGCGTATATATTAACGAGGGGTAACAGGGGTAACAGACAAGGAATTTCTTTTCGAGCAAGGAGATCTGTATCTTTCATAATAACGGCCAATTCTTGAAACAGGTGCATGCAAGAACGATTAATTATATTGTACATGTGGGCGTACATGAACGTTCATACCTACGAAGTAATGGGGGTATTAGAGTGAGGATTAATTTGTTATTAGTGTAGAAAATTGCACGAATAAAAAAGCCAAAGTTTTTGTTATTCTATATGCGAATTGCTGTTCTAATTGTTATTATAATTCCAACCCGTGCGGTATTTTTGAGTATATGACGTTTGAGTAAATGACAATTTTCAACCAATACTTGAAACAGGAAAAATTATTGGCGGCGGTAAACTCTCGGAGATAAAAGTGCAAAAAACATGAGTTTTAATGTTGGTAATTGATTGAAATTTGGCAAGATATCTAGGAAAGACCTATTGTGTACGAAAATGTGAAAACTGGATACTCGAGAACTTGATCATAGGTGCAATTAAGTGTTAAAAATAGTAATAAGGTATGTGTTCTTGTTATTATTGTTGTTGTTGTTGTTCAGTGGTCGTTGCCATTGTTGTCTGACAATTACGCACTTACTTCGTTCTTATTGATTCTGCCCGATGTTGTAAAAGAATACTTCTTAATAGGCGGGTCAGGACTATATGATGGACGAATGGACGAAAGGATGATGAATGTATGTCCCACCACTCATATCAGAGCTATTATTGACAACAATTAAATTCTCGCATGTTAAGTCTAGATGTGATGATAATGATTCGACAAGATGCGTAGGAACTATGGTCCGATTCCTTTTGAATATGAAATTATAATGTGGAAATACGACGAACGGAATTAATTCACTCAAACCAGCAAAAAGTATTACCTTAATTGAGGTGGAACCTGAGCCTACGCTAAATTCGTTTTAGCGAAGACCCGGGTGAACAGTGAGTCGTTACGTTTCTGACGATGTTGGTCAAAATAGATTTTTTTTTTGTACCATTTTGTCTGTATATTTCCCAGTTTCTCAATGTTCAGTCTTGAACTGTAAGAAGTCTTGGCGTGGTATATTTCTTAGGCAATTAGAGGAGTAGTTTTGAATTTTATGTTTTCATGTACATTGATCGAGATTTAGCACCACCTTCTTTCTCCCGAAGAGTGATAGGGGCTTGGGTTTTTTGCTGCTAACGGTCAAAATAGACTTTTTTACCGCTTCGTTAATAGTTTTCTCAGTTTTTATAATGTCTAATCATAAACGGTGAAACGTTTTTGCGCCAGTGGTAGAACATCTGTTTACGTAAATCGAAATGAATTCGTCGCAATCTAATTTCTTGTGAAGTGTAATTAAGTCTAATGACGACAGCTAGTCATGAACGAGAACACTGAGATTGTTCCTATTCCAAGCATATGCTCCCCCTCCTCCTCCTTTCTTTTGCGCACCCTCTCCCTACGTCCTCCAAATTTTTTGCTCACCCCAAGCGCGCTTGTTTGGCCACTCGTTCATATCAGCGCCCTGGAAAGGAAACGTCTGCTATGTAGACTAACCACAGTCCACCAGCCCATACATTTTCATCGTTAACTGAATCTTGACCTTCGTCGTGTGTACAGACCTCGCTTTGTCCTGTCTGTACTCACGACCTCGGTCAAGATTCTCCCACTGACAGACCACTGACTGCTCGGTTAATAAGAACTAAATATCATATTTGACATATTTAGTTACGGTACACCTAAAACGTCCGTGGCCAAGTGTGCTGCACCCCGGCTGAATCATCTGACTAACACATGATCAGTAAAAACTTTCTATTAAAATAAGTGTTGGTGAAATAGAAGTTAATGGTGACTGAAAACCGCATGACCTGAGGTAATGACTATTGGTAGTCATCGAACTTCATTGAGTTTGCCCTCATTCGTTATTAAAACATACTTGCGGCTTCAGACACATACACTGGGGCTTGACAGGGGCGTAGCTTAGGGGTGTCCTGGGGTGCCCGTGACGCCCCCTTTTGTAAGCCTTTTTTAAGCAAACAACCTCGCTACAACGGGTGGCGAAAACGACATGACAATCTGGTGAGTACCCTCACTTTGACACAGTGTGACTCCCCTTTGAAAAATCCTGGCTACGCCCCTGGGTGAACACATACAATGTCACATGGTCACATACATGTACAAAACGTACCGGTAATCCAACGCTGAACTTTATTGCGTCACGCAACGTTGTTCGAAACCCTCCTATAAGTGTGGAGCAAAACAAGAGCCATCGTGTAATAAACTAACGCATACAGGAGAAAGCTAGCAACAAAGTAAGATCAGTTTGGATAAATTAAAAAAAAAAAAACGATGACAAAATAGGTTACGCCACTCCTTGTCCTGCTGAAAGACTCGTGATCTGCACGGCGGTTCGTCAGACACCCGGGTCAAACAGAACGTTTCAGACTATAACTTATTCTTTCACTTCAACTCTAAAGTGAAGTCAAACCAAGCATTGTACTAACTACTTTTGTATTGGTTTGACTGCAGTGCAGATAGTCTACCCGGTTGCTGTAGCCCTTTTCAAACTGACCGTGAGTATGATTTTACCTAATTGGCTAGAAATACTTAACTTACTAAGCCCTTCCGTCACATTTACCTTCATTCTGATTTACAAAGGGGGGCTTCATTGAAAGCACTAGCACTCTCGAGTTTTACGTTTGGAAAATGCCAAATAGTGCACAAAATTGCATCATAACTGGCGGGCGGATGATCTTGTGATAGGCAAGTTTAGAAGGTTTAGTACTACCCTGATCCCAGAGGCTTTTCTTGATTTTTCTCCGCATGAGATGAGACAGCGGCGAGAAAAATCAAGTAAAACCTCTGGGACCAGGGTAGTTTAGTACAGATGTATGATGCAAATTGGTTTTCCGCGGTCAGTGTTAAAAAAATAGCCGTGGATGAAAATAATGAAAAGCTGAGTGATATGACTTTTTAATAGTACATAAAATCTTGGTTTATAGTCTGTAATCATGCGCGTGTATACAGCTGACTATTCAAGTTAAAACGCAGCCGAGTCTCATGGATAAGACTAACTTGGTACACGTGTTTGCTAACTCCGTAGCGCCTCTTTGACTTTAATCCAGGCTTCAATTAATTGATACATCTTCATGAATTTCAACGGACTTTGATCATAATTATCAAGGAATTTAGAACATGATCATGATCATTCGTCATATGTCATTTATATTTGGCATCCGCTAAAGTTCGAGGCCACATTTTATCCCTAAGGGAAATTTCACATGGCTTCAGAGAAATCAGATTCACTCCATACTATAGAGAGCCAGCTATTTGGCTTTGGCGCGTGTTTCAACCGGGCTTTTATGACCGCACGTTGACAAAACGCGGCTCACTGAAGACAGACAAAAAATTGAACTACAACGACTCCAGGGACTACCATCTTTGAACGAATACACATAGACATTCCGTAATACCAGCAGTCGCGAGGCTGACTTATGCGTTATTTCTATCGCATGACTTCATGAGGGGTGCAGCATGACGTCATCGGGGGTTCCCCTTGTTTCATCACAATAGCACAAAGCAATATGCCAATTTATCACGTACTGCATCAGAATGACTGAAGAACTTTACTTGTAGCAAATTAATACCGCAAATACTTCTCCGGGGAATTGCATAACATGGGAAGCATCGCTGGGATCAGAAAAAAAAGGCACTCCATCGTTACAGAGCTAAACTTATAGGCCATACTTGTTACAGCAAAGACTGCTCGGTTGAATGATTCTAGTTACTCGAGGAGTTTACGACGTTTTACATGCATTTGTGCACGTGTTCGTGTATGTGGGACGATAAATGATCTTTCTATAGATTTCTTTCACAGTCATGGGCTTTTTTCTTGATGAATCATGGCTTTTTCGAATTATACCCGATATAAAAGGTTACCCGGCAACTGCAGCTACGCTGTATCAGGAGCCCATCACTGACTGTATTCTTTCCGATACATTCAGGCCACGTGAGTACAAAACTTGTTAGTGATGTTGCAGATTGTTATATATAGAGCGGAATGTTTCCTGCAGGCGCCAGTTTGTGTAGCACGTTGTCGAGAAAATCGGTATTGGGTGAAGGCTTGCCTAACATTCTTTTTCCAGTTTTTCTTGAAAAATATACACCATATTATCATCTATTATAAAGCCGTCGAAAAGTACTTCATTTTACTAGTAAGTGGCGCAAAGATAACTACAACGTTAAAACAGCTGTTATCTCCGTTAATTTCAAGGTAAGTTATCACAAAAAGATTCTAACCGCTTGCTCAAGAAAACGTACGAAGAAATGTCGATAAATTCCGCCGTTCGCTATTTGCTGAGCAACATCATTTCTACAGGGGGATTCCCCGAATTTCACTTCCCGGATTGTTCCAAAAGTCGTGCGTAAAATCGAGTGTCGTCTGCAAGTGTACGAAATAAAAGCTGTAAGAAGCCAAACTCTGAGAGAAAAAGACTAGGAAGTGTTTAGTAACGAAATGTTTCTGTCTAATATGGAAGAAGCAATGGAAATTAGCTAGATATCTTTTGGATGAGGTCCGGCTAAAATGTGGCCAAAGGCATGTTAGGGTTATCCAAGCTTATTAAAAATTTTGCTCTGTAAGCTCAGTCATAAAACTGTGTGAGTTGAGATGCTCGTACTACCAACAGAGTTTTAAGGGACACTTTTCATTTAAAAGTCATTACAGATCACACGGTAAAGTTAACAAATCGAATGTGGTTTAGCGCTGTCTGTACTCTTATCAACAATACGATACGCGTCATCACAGTGGTCAAAATTGTTGTGGAGTCACTGCGCCTGGTGACTCCACAACATTTTGACCACTTTGATGACACATATCGTTGTCGATAAGAGTACAGACAGCGGTAAACCACATTCGATTTTCTTTTTACCACAATATCAACGTCAAAGAAAATGTTTTTTTTTTTCCCGGAGCGTGACCAAGACCGTGGCACAAAAAAAGAGCAAGCGTTGTCTATAACTTTCTCGCAATCTGATTGGTTTATTCCCCAAAATGAGCGTTTTTGATTGGCTATTGCAACAAGAAAAGGCTACCACGAAAATTCTGTATCGAGGGAAACGACCGCAAAGTTGAACGTTTATTCACGAAAATACAACTTCAACTGTTCAGTTACTGCAAATATTCAAGCAAAATTACGATGACTTTGCGGCAAAACATACACATTGGCATTTGTAATGGTGCAGCCATAGAAGAAGCCATTTGGGAAGGCCAAAGCACTGGAGTTTGAGGCAGAGTACGAAATCGAACTCGAAGCTGGCGTCACTAGACACTGCACTAGAACATGAACAACTGCTGAACTCGCTTCCTTACTAACTAGAGCATTTGAGGATGTTGGAGCAGTTCTTCAACTGTTTTAGAGATGGTCTGGAGATATAACTTGATATGCTTTGCTCGTTAGCATGGCCCGAGATCGACATGATGTGACGTGAAGGAACGTTGGCGATTGACCATAGTGTGATGGAAGTTGCTCGCACCGAGTAGTTAGTGCACGTCTGAGACAGTAGCTAGTCCAGCGCCAAGGGAGATTTCCTTCATCGTTGTTGATAACGTGTTCACTCCGCGCGGGCTGTTCATGTACCAGATCGTATCCGTTTCCGTTCGGCTTTCGGCGACGGTGGTTGGAAAAAGGCTGGCTGTTGCGGGTTGAATTTCTGTACATGGGACCAGTACGAATCGCCGAACTCTCCCGTTGCGAACAGTCGAGTGAGGCTTTCGTAGCTGTTTTTTCCAAAATTCCTCCTTGGTGGATCTTTGTTTGGACACTGTGGACCATTTCAGCATACTCCTGCCCTTCTGCAGCATCTCTCATGAGCCTAAACTAGTAAAGCTATCCGTTTTGGGGTTGACTCTCGCTTGAAAAATGCATTGCGTGACATATTGACGCAAGCAGCGTTGTCTGGACTCCTATCGAAAACGGCAAATTAACCAATCAGATTAGTAGCAATTGTGGTAAAAACAAGATTCGTTATCGTTCCGACTCATATTAAGAGTATGACTAGCCTCCCACGAAGACTCTTTTGGGGCTTGTCCCGCGTTCCTTCCCCACGAACGTGGAAGGAAGGAGGAAGGAACATTGGAAATAGCATAATAATGATGATAATGATGATAATCATAATTCCCGATGGCATATTTACAGGACTTTAACTTGATTAGTAATTTCTTTCACGTTTTATACTTTTGTAACTCGCTTTTAACGAATTGTGGCAGTTTCACCTTACCTTACCTTAATATACTGTTCATGGCTCAAAACAGTTTTCAATTGAGTTTCTAAAAACCAAAACCAAAGTGATTATTCCGTGCTAATCGGAAAGGATACAGAAGATCCAGGGAACCAGTCAAAAATCTGGGCACATACGTGTCGCAGGGGCTAAGCTGGTTTTGTTTTTACTTCTGATTGATTGAAAGTGGCGCGACTCACTTAGTAGTATAATTCAAAACCAAGGCATCGTGAAATCCACCCTGGCTGTAGAACCTTAGCCTGCTCAACAAGTTTGGAGAATTTTATTCCGCTTTCGATCATTGCATCATAGTATAATTTGCTGACTTCACATTAAATGAATTTTGCTCAGTTTTTACTGCTGACTCATTGTACCTGTTTTGTTTCATTTATGTTGGCCCAGTTGAGTCATGCCTGGATACAATTTGGCTCCAATTGATCGATCAGGAATCGATAAAAAGAATTTGTGCCCTAAATGCCACGGACTTCTTAGAGAAGCTGTACAGACCATAGCCTGTGGCCACAGATACTGCAAAACATGCGTGGATACTATACTAAGGTAACTTCCACTATACAAGCTCTTTTGCCTGATAGGCAATAATACCTCCATATGGAGTGAACTAAACGCTAAAGGTTTGTGGAGGCACTCGAATTATTTTGTAAAGAATTAGGACGCTGACATTTCTAGCGTTCCCTCCATCCGAGCGTTCAATACAAACTGAATATAACAACTTAGTTTGCAGCCACATTCTTCATCGATCTTTTTCACCAAGTTGTTCCAGCGGCCACTGCCACCACTGGCTCCTAGACTCTGAAGGTAGCTTCGGGAGGGTTGTCCAATACACCTAATCTGAGTCGATTCGCCTCTGGTATTGACGATTCAAGAGACGACTCGTCTCCACTGATGTCGATTCGTCTTCCGGAAGTCGATTTGCGCATCTGAGCTATGCAAAGTGGGTCGACTTTGCAAAAGACGATTCAGGAAGAATCGTGCGAATAGTAGTGTCCTTCTTAACAGTTTTTTCGGGATGCGACGCAACGCTCTCACCATGCCAAAGAGCGAAGGAGACTGTACGAATCTAGTCGAATCGTCGAATCCACTGAAGTTTGTTGTCACGTTTTAATAATAAGGAACGTTCATGTATTATTATTTCATGGGTCTCGACTTCCGGTGGTGCGAATCGAGTCGAATCGTCAAGTACCTCGACCCTCAGACAAATCGACTCAGTTTCGGGTTCCGACTAAAAATCTTTAAAACTGGCAATTATTGGTTTGTAATAATGTGTTATGGAATGTTTACCATGTTGTGTGGTGTTGTGTCTTAATCATGAGTCAACTATTCATGTCAGCGGTTTGCACCCTGTGAACTTAAAAGAGCTACGTTACGGTTCCGCACCTTGAAAAGTTTGGCCTAAATTTTTTCAAGTTTGTCGTTTGTAATCCGTGTTAATCTTCTCAATCCTTAACCAGCCTTGCGCCTTTATGGTTTATTATTGTCTCTTTGGTGTTTTCCTATCTTGAATAACTACCCAAAATGCCGTGACTGAGCTCAATACCAATACAAGTGGGTTCAATTGATCCCTTAATTCTCGCTCTTTTCCTTTTACTCTGTTTCTCTGGTTGTTTGTTTGTTTGTTTGTTTGTTTTTTTCCAGTTCTTATAATTTCTCTCTTTTTCTCAGTCAGGGAGTCGGAAAATGTGTCCTCGACGATTTGGCCATAACACGAGAACAGGTCAGTTTGATTTATTTTTGTCGAAGGCACACACTCTTCTCTATAATTCTAGCTCCCATGTCACTGCTTCTGTTTGGTTCCTTTTGTTACCGCCATATCGCGAAGCCAATCTCGATCGGTCTCCAAACATCGTTTTAAAAAAGAACAAACGTTTAAGTTTATTCACGACAACGAGTTTGACT